AAAACTTACACAAAACTCCCTAAACATTCGTTTTCCGTCTTTCGTAATAAGAAAATTTTATGTATAGCATAAAATTTTTTACATATTTTTTTTATTGATTATACACATAATTTCAATTTTAACTTTATGATGTTGATTCTAGACCAAAGTTTATAATCCAAAAATTATAATTATACTATAGATAAATAAAAATATTGATCAGACCATTTTAATCATTTAAAAAACAAAAAATCATACACTTTATTAATGGATGAAAATTATGTATAAGCTTAAACTTTTACCTTTTTGAAGTTCATACTGTAAGTGACGAGTGGTTGTAACTACCAAGTAAAAATTATAAGGAACGTAAATACAAGCCAGAAAATATAATACATGTATGCAGACAAATATTGTTGTAAAAAGCCAGGATTATACTTATATCCTAAGAAATAATTTACTATGGAATTACGAAATGGCCTTGCCAACCAGAAGTATCAACTTACATAATTATTTAATAGAATAAGTATTCAGAATATATATATTTTGATGTATAGGAAAAAAACTGTTTGTAAAATAATTTATATCTTTAAATAACACATAAATGAAAAGACAATATACTGGAACACTGAATCGAATAAAAAAAAAAAATCTGCCGTTAGTTGGAATCGATCCTTAGATAGCAAAACAAAAACGAGCAGCAGCATAAGCACTTACCATCATAGCTGTAAGAAGTTCGGGTGAAAAAGATCTTGAAAATGAATACGTTCATTGACAATCTCCGGAGTTTGTCCTGCAGTTGATAAAAATTATGACGAAGAAGAATAATAAATGAGTGGTTACAGCTTCATTGCCATCCTTAAAAAAATAGCTATTTATTTCTTAAAAATAATACTGTATTTGATAATAAGTGTAAATGTACGGAAAAAAAATGTTTTTAAATCAAATTAGTTCCACGATTCAATTGAATTAGATTTATGAATAACATTGAAGCAAGAGTGAGATCAGTTAAACATATATAGCATATACTTGGTTGCAGTCAAAAGGGAAAAACTCGGGTCGTCGCTTGCTTTGGCTGTGCACTCAGCTATATAGCTATAGTCAACATTTCTGCTCCTCTCTTCGTAAGCACACATTCGGTATACCCCTTTGACGTATTTCCAAAATGTGTGCCTATATGCTCGTTTCCACGTAAATCCACTCCTCTTCTCATAGGCGCACGCTGTTTGATACGAGTCTGACACTCTAGAAAAATGTGTGCCATAGTATGATGGATCGCCCTGATTAGAGCCAAAAAGTCGACTCACCTCGTCACATTAGCGTTAGCAGTCTCTCTACTCATCTCTGTTTATGGGTTTGTCTAAACCCGAGGAGTTTAGCTTTTAGTTGGTGAGCGTGATCATCGTTCGGTGAATCTAATACTTTTCTGAATTTTACGAGTTTAAACCATTGTTGCAGCAATAAATACTTGTTTTGCTAAGATTATACTAAAAGATATAAATTGTTTTTAAAAACTATCTTTTAATGAGGCTGAGTAACTATGTTTTCAACTCCCTAGTTCTAAATTTAAAGAAAAACATCTTGACGATTGTTTCAAATTGGCACATAGGTGATTTACACAAAATAGATCTTTCGAAAAAATTTTAACGGTGCAAGTTATACGGAGAGGGAATAAACAAAAAGCTGACAAGTTAATGATGAAAATAACTATTGTAATAAAAACATGTCACAACGAAACATCTATGAATTATTTGGATCATTCACTCCATAGCTCTCCTCACTAACCCAACTTATGTTTTAGATACATAAGGAGAAAAAAGTGCCCCTGATTTACCACATTGCAACGCTGTCTATCTATTCCAAAAATGAATTTTTTTTCTGACTTTTCACGACATTGTCAGTAAGATTTCCTGTGTAAGCAAGAAGATTAACAAAACTTGCTAGTCTTACAACAAAACATACAATTAATTATTAAATTTTTAGTAGTCTCCTAGTTTAAGTATACTTTTTTATGTTGTTGTAGCGTAACCAATAAAAACCAGGTGTGGGTTTCGGGATCTCCGATAGATATAATACCTTCAAGAATATGTTATTGACCTTGGTAGTATTTTATTGTCTATGATGAAAATAGTAGTTTTTGTTAAATAAGTACCATCGTCTCCGGGGCTATTTTACAGCCCAGGGACATTGCGAAGTGACACCAGTCTCTCAAAAACTCCCGAGTAAGGAAAAGTATTCATTTTTCTGACTCAAAACAACCTTTATTTTATATTTTAACATTTAAAACAAGTTTATTTACGAGTTGATATTTTTATCAGTACATATTATAAATTAGGGATAGGCCAATATTAAATTGTGTTAATATTTTTTTCATTAATTGACATATAAATGAAAACGAGAACATCACGCACGTGCATATATTTCGTTGACTCTATACTAAAGATGGGTTAAGATAATAAAGTCCCCGACTACCACTCCGAAGGATGTGGGTTCGATTCTCGAAGTCAGTAAAATTGGAAAAATCTTATCACACATATCATTATCTAGGGATCAGCGTTGTCTCTTTGATAAGCGTGCTTATTACTCATACAATGTCGTTCTAGAGGTCGTAGGTTCAATTTTCAGTAAGTACAGATTTTTTCAACAACTGTTATCACTGGAAAAAGTTCCTAAGCAACCCCAACTGTTTTGGAGCAGGTTTTTCCGTGGAATTTTCCTTCAGAGTAAGAACAGAGTTTCTTTCTTGCCTCACTGTGTGAATGCAAGGTAGTGTAAGGGTTATAGGTAGGGATTATCGGATAACAAGCCTGATCTGAAGTCTATGGTGCTGCCAAACAAGATTGAGAGGAGCTCTAAAGGCAACTGAAACTAAGTACATTATACATACTGAGTTATTATTTATATCAGCTGATAACTGGGAAAAAGATGGGAAAGCAAGGATGAATAAAAAAAATACTCATGTTTATAATAATGTTTTAAATAAAGAAGATGGTGATTTCTAAAGTTTTTATGGTACGTTAAGTCTAATTGGCAATGTCACTACACATAAATTATTACATAACCATTATACCAAGATTTGTCTGTAAGATGTAAAAATAAAGAATATTATCGATACATTTAGGCTTTTTAATTTAAAACCTGAGTTATAAACATTCA